AGAGGAGGAGGAGGAGGAGGAGGAGGAGGAGGAGGAGGGGGAGGAGGAGGAGGAGGAGGAGGAGGGCGACGACGATAGCGAGGATGACGTTGTCGATGTCGACGACTACGACGACGACGACGTTGACGACGACAGGCCAGAGGCCGACGACTGTCGACCGCCGACGACGCCGTGAGCTTGCCTGCTCACGACGGAGGCGGTGAGGGGGGGGCAATGGCGGCACAGCTCCCGCCTCTGGCCCGCGCCTCGCGCCCTCCTCGCGAGGACCCCCCCGCACAGGACCCCCCCCCGGTCCCTCGGGGAGCCGGGAGGGCGCACGGTCCGCCCGAGGCACGAGCTCGAGATCGGTTCGGGTAGGGTGCCCCGGTGTCGCGCCTCCTGGGGGAGGCCCCCTCCTCCTCGTCCTCCTCCTCCTCCTCCTCCTGGTCCTCCTCCTCCTGGTCCTCCTGGTCCTCCTCCTCCTCCTCCCCCTCCCCCCTCCCCCCGGCGTCCCGTCGGTTGCTCGAAGTAGGCGTTTCTGGATGGCCAGCTTCCAAGCTGCTCTGGGCGCCTTCCTGCTTCGCTGGGCGAGCGGCTGCACCTCTGCCGTCGTCCTTCGGGGGGGCGGGCGGGGCCCGATCCCCATGCTCAACGCTCTCCTGCCTCGTGCCTCTGCCCATTTCTCACCACCCACCCAACCACCCCAACCCAACCCGAAGGCCTCAATTCGCCCTGCATTTCCAGATGGGGGGGGGGGTCGGGGAACACTGACAAAAACACATATGGAACCCGTACCCCCCCAACCCGAAGTTTTGGGGTCTTCGGGTTGGGTTGGGGTTGTCTGGTAGGTAGTCAATTTACCCCGACCGATGGGTACCCCTCCTGCCCGAGGTCCGACCGCAATGGCCGGGCCTCGCCCGCCGGCGGGCAGGGGCGCAGAAATCCGGAGAGCAAGCGGGTTCGGGGTCTCGATTGCGCGCAGCGCGGTTCAGTCTGGCACGGGCGGAGCCGATCGCCCACCCTCATTAGTGACGCGCGTGACCTTCTGTCCCCGATGATATACAGCCCTTCCCCCCCTGTGTCACGATACTTCCTGGCGCTAACTTTTTTGGTTACTCGGTGGGGGGTGGCGAGGCCGAATTTCATGATCGCTGATGCCGGTATCAATCGTATTCATAGACTTCTCATCACGGGTGGCAGGATGGTTATCATTTTCATGAGCGTTGATACTTTTACTGTAATTCTCACCATTCCCATTCTCCTCATCATAATCATTATGATCATGATCATCCTGATCATCATGACCATCAGCATGATCTCTCATGGGCCTCAATTCTGTCACACCTCTCACACGGTTCGTGGCCCCATAGGGAGTGGTGTTCGCATGCGTCCGCCAACCATGCAGGGACAATATGTTATCCCCCCCCCCGGATCCCGAATTTAATTATCCCACGGGGGCGAATCTTCGGGGTACGCCGTTACGTCAGCAGCGGTGTCGCACGCATCACACGAATCGTTGTTGTAAGGTCATTCGTGTTGCAGGGGTTGATGCGTCACTTCTAGGACCCCTTTTGAGGGGCCGCGTGGATCCTACTATTCTCGCCTGGCGCAACCGAGGGAGGTCGACTGTCGTTGCGGGCGGTCGTGGGCTGGGGCTCCCTGGAGACCTCGGCGTGGTCTCCCTGGGGGCTCCACGGGGTGCGTTCTCGATGTGCGTCCCGTTCCGAACCGACAAAAGTTGGTTATTACCGACCACGGCTTGTTGTAGGTTCCCTGCGTGCGGAAACAGACACAAGGGACTGCACTCCCACCGACCCGTCGAGTTCGGTAGCAAATCATGGGGGCCTCGTGTACCCTCTTAAATCCGTCTTTGGCGTCGACTAGCGTCAAATAGCGTCCGGCAGTTGATGGGCTAGCGCCGATTTAGCGTCGGTGAATGGCGATTCGCGTCGAATTACCGTCGACTCGCGTCGATTAGCGTCGGTTTGGAAGGGCCAACAAGATGGTACGGGAGGCTCTCATGAGTTGCCATCGAATCGTCGAGATCTCGGTCTCTACTGACAACTCCGTGGTTAGACCGTTGAAAACGTAGTTCTGCCGTCTGGAGCGAGTCCAGCGCACGCGTTGCTGCAAGGCCGATCTCGGGGCGCCGACGGCGCCGCGGTGATAGGCGCGCCAGGTGTCTCCTGATGGCCGCAGGATCGAGCAGTGACGAGGCGTCCTGGTTTGCCTGTAGGTCCACCAAGGAATGTTCTAAGAACCTGTTGTGGTCTGCGCGACATGCTCTCAGAGCATTTCTGGCTGAGACTGTCGTGTTCTCACACGTCGGGCTCATGCTATACGAACGTTGTTTTGTTGTTAGAGCATTGCTGGCTTCTAAGAAAAAATCGTGGTAGACCGATCGGAATGCCGGGACGGTCGGTCCCTGCTCATCTCTCGGGTTTACGATGGGGCCCCGAGACACGCCACGAGGGCGCCAAGATTCTTTCCGTGAGCCCCAGCAGGGCCCCACCTCCCCCCAGTGGAGCCCCACGAGGGCCCCCAGAAGCCCTGGAGGCCGCCGCGCACTCGCGACGTGATGGTTTGGCCGGACGGCGACTTTCACATCGCGGGGTGCAGGATAAAGCGACGCAAAGATCGGGACAAAATCGGATCGGGATAACTCGAAATCTCTGAGAATCGGCGGGTTTGGAGGATGTATTGGGCGCCGCGGCCGCTCTAGAGCGTTCTGGAACGCTCTGAGAGCGCTCCAGAACGCTCTGGATCGATTTATCCCGATCCTAGCCCTGTTCTAAATGAGCGAAAGGAGGACGTACACTTACTTGAGCCCACGCTGGTTCCGAGAGTACGCATTTCGCGAACGTTCGCATCGCGCGGCTGACCTCGCGGATTGGGTGACCGTTTTCGTGTACGCGGGCTTGCACGCACGTCCTGCATGGGCTCCCAGACTCGGGTACGCGGCGGCCAGCTTTTCAGAAGCAGGTCCAGGGCAATTTCCTCGGCCAGCCCCGCCTGGCCACTAAGCTTATGTCTGGCATGTCCCTCTACAGGGGGGAAATTCAAAAGTAGTGACAACATCGTCCGGGGACGACTTTTCGACCATTTCTGACAATTTCTGAATCTCTTCCGAATCTTTTTCGGTCCTCTTCCAAACTCCGCCTTCGGGACGCCATGCCCGACCTGTCACTGGCCCCACCTTTCCGACACCCCGGACCTGGAGGAGGCCGGCGCCCTGGCCCAGGCCGCGGCGGGCGAGGCGAGGCGGCTCTTCTTCGTGCCCCTGGGGGGCGACGCAGCTCCTCCGCCTCCTCTGCCTCAGGGAAGGACTCAAACGCTGATTTGCTGGGAGGGTGCCGGGAAACGGGTCGAGCGAAACGGACAAGAAAGCGAGGACACAGCGGCAAGCAGCGATTAGGTCCAGGCCTGCCTGCCTCTGCGCCCTCGTCCTGGCGCCCATCCCTGCCGTCACCGAGGTGCCCTTTCAGCCCGCCGCTGGCGAGCAGCCCTCCGTGCTTTGAGGTCGTGCGCAGAGGCCGCCACTCCCTCGGTCCTTCGGGGGGGGGGGCCCGAGCGGTTTTGTCTCGCTGGCGCGCCATCGTCGCCAGAGGCTGGATCCGCCACGAAGTCCGGGGCAGAAAGGTGCCACAAAGAGGGCCCCGGGGCGGAGGAAGAGGTTCAGGAGGGAAAGAAACACACAGATACAATTCATCCTCGATTTCCCAGAAAATATGGGCGAAGACAGAAACCCAGAGAATATGGGAAACTAATTATGGGGAATGTTTTTATTTGTGTGAATTTATTTGTGTGTCCTGGGGCCCCTTCAGAGGTGGGGGAAGGCCCTCCCCTGCGTAGGTTGCGGGGCATCTGTCGGCCTCCAGTGGCCGTCACCAGGCCGGGAGACTGTCAAAGCACAACTCGGGAGGAGAGATATTGGTCCCAGGGAGAGGGCTTTCTTCGTTCAGGGTTCCTTATGCAGCGTTCCTTCTGTCAAGAGAGGAATGACCGCCCCGACCCCGACACTTGGCGTTCACTTGGCGACCCTCCGGGCGTTTGCTGAACAGCCCTGTTCTCTTCGATCCCTCCCTTGGGTGCGTTTGCTGGACGGCTCCGCTCGTCAGGGTGGTCGTTATGGGGCTGCATGTTCTGCTTTCTACTCTGGTAGCAAGACCACTGCACCCCTCGCCCTCTCCCTGCGGCAGGTCCATGCGGCGATGGCGCGCCGGCGACGCCGCGAAGGCGTTCACGGTTGAATTCCGCACGCCGGCGACGCGGCAGCACCGAGAGACGCGGCAACGCCGCAGGACCCGACGGGATTCAGCCTGGAACGATCGGGGCCGCGATCGATGCACGATTGAATGATCGACGCGGTGTCAGAAACCTTCTTGCGCGCGCCGGCGCCGTGCGAACCTACTGTACCTCCTCCCTCCCCGCGGAGGGGGGAGGCCGCCTGCCCCTTCCCCCCTTCCCTGCCATGGTGTTCGGCTTTCGGCAAGTGTAAGTCCGACGACACGGTCGGGGACCTGGCGCATCAGGTGGTGACCAGGTCCCCGCGGGCGCGGCCGCGCTGCGGCCGCGTAGTCTCGCGAGACTCTTCCCCTCGGGGCTGTCCTACCTACTTGCCCCTCTCCCTTCAGCTGCCCGCCCCTCGAGGCGAGCTCTGGACCGTGTGCCGTTTGTCCGGGCGTGCGCCGTCCGGCTCGCCCGACCTGTTTGGAATGCTGCACGCCTCGCTGCCTCCCTCGACATAGGAGGAGGAGGAGGAGGAGGAGGAGGAGGAGGAGGAGGAGGAAAAGGGTACCCATACCGCTGCCCTTCCCTCGCTCTCCCCTTTCTGCGCCTCCTGTGAGGCCCACATCGCCGCCGCTGGATTCGCCTGGAAGTCCTGGTCCGCACCTTCACCCCGGGAGAGGTCCGGGGTGTAGGGGTACCTGCACCTGTTGGTTTCCCCAGGTTTGGGTCCGCTGCGTTGCCGCAGGCGCGGGATGTGCCGCATGTGATGCGGCATGCGTAGCATGAGTGATGCGGCAGGTGACGCTCCGTCCCGAGTGGTGCGGCATGCGTGGCATGCTTTGCAAAATGGCGCCGATCGGTTGGGCTGCACGGTGGTGCGCCGACCAAGAGGTCGCATATCCAAGCGAGACCTCGCCTTCCTGGGCGCTTGCGGGCGATACGTCTGTTCATATCCACTGCAGCTTGGACTAGAAACTCGACGCGCACGGGATATGGAAAACCAATTGCCCTTGGAGGCTCGATTTTGTATCCATATCCCGTGCGCTTCGTTCTTGCGGCGCCCCTTCCAAGAAAGTCCAGCACGCATTGGATATGGATATACATTGTCCACAGCGTTGCCAGTCACGCACGAGTCACCATTTTGCAAATGAGGGAAGCGTGCCGATACAGCTACCCTTTCCTCTTTGTTCTAGTTTTCCTGGGTGGGGTCGGAGTGGATGGGATCGGAGGTGCATCGCCGATGCATCGCCGATGCGTCTCGGTAGGGAGCCTTATTTGCTTCAAGTCGACGTCGGCGATGCATCGCCGACGTCGACGATGCATCGTCGGTGCATCGCGCGATGCGGCACGATCATCCGACCCCATTTTCTCGGACCCCATCCAAGAGGCCTCTAGTTGTCTGCCGTTTTGGGCCTCCTGGGAGGCCCTCGCCGCCACCGTCGGATTCGCTTCGAAATTCGGATCAACATGCACACCATGAGCGGTCTCGGGAGTGCGGCAGGTTCATGTGGAGAGGGCGCGCCGGCGACACCGGCGAAGTCGTTTAATATTGAAAACCGCACGATAGAGCGGTGCGGAACGGTAGCGCCACAGGACCTGACGTGATTCCGTTTTGCACGCTTGGGGCCGCGATCGCGCGCCGCCAAACGCAGCTTCGTCGAGGCGGTGCGGGTCAGGCTGCGCTCGGGCCAGATCGGGCCGCGGACAGGCAGATCTGCGCAGTGTGAAGAGCAAGCGAGCCGCCTTCGAGGAGGAGGAGGAGGAGGAGAAGGAGGAGGAAGAGGAAAAGGAGGATGAAAAAGGGGGAAGGAGGAGGCGCGGGGAACACCCTGCAGCTCGCTGGCACAAGTTCGCGCATCGAGCGCCGCCGAGCATGGCGCAGGCCAGACGGTGTGCGACCCTGGGGCGGGCTGTGCTGCGTGGCCGCCCTGGCACGGGGGGGGGCGCGCGCCGCCGCTGCATCGATGGCAAGGGGAGGAGATGATCAACTCGTTCGAGACGGACTACGAGGCTCCTTCTCCTCCATCTCCTCCTCCTCCTCCTCCTCTGAAAGGGAAGGGAGTGCCAAATTTGAGCGGGGCACGTGCCGTGCTTCGAGTCGAGCGCCTCTTCTCCAGTCTTCCAGTGGGCCACTGGCTCGGGGCGCCGAGGCTGCGCGTGGGGTGCGGATGTTGCACGCGGGGAGAGCGCGCTGCAGGAATTCCGGATTTGCCCCTGCATATTGGAGACGGCCAGGAGGTTATGTGCCGGATATGTTCGTTGAACACCTGCCAAGAAGAGGACGGGCTGAGGGAAAGTTCGTTCAACATCTGCCCCCAGACACCTCCCGGGCTTGATACTGACTCGTCGTCGAGCATCGTCCAGCCGTGGCGACGAGGGACAAGTCTACATACCCCTCCTCTCTGCTGTCCCGAGCCAGTGGTGGGGCCACCTCAGCCCCCCGTGCCAGCTCCACAGCTGCAGTCTTCCTGCCGCAGCGCCCCCTGCCGCAGCGAGGCCATCGAGGAGGTCCTCAGCGGCGCGAAGCCGTCCGGGAGGGGCCAGTGGTGGCAGGCACGGGGTGGTGTTGCGGCTCGTTGGGAGGAACATCTGGCACGTGGCAGGTTCGCACCGAGTCGATGCGGGGGCGACTTTGGCACACAGCCGTAGCAGGTTCGCACCGAGTCTCTGCGGGGGCGACGCCTGCGCGGGCGTTCAATGGTGGGCGCCCTTCAGGGGTACGTTCGGGGCCCCGGTTTTTGCGAGAATTTTGCAAGTTCCCTTGCAGGAAGCGGGGGGGGAATGGGGCGTTTTGCGGCCCTCTGAGGGAATCTGGACTTCACGCCAATCGATGTTGGAAAAGGCGGCGGAGGGGGGGAGGGAATGCGATGCGAGTAAATTATATTAAGTCTCGAAAGAACCAGCCTACAGCCAGAGTCGATAGCTTCTTTCCTGTGCCGCCCCTGAATGGGGTCGGAGTAAATGGAGTCTGATGATCGCGCCGCATCGCCGATGCATCGGCGATGCTGCTTGATGCGGAGTCCGCTTTCATCGACGCCGATGGCGCCGATACATTGCCGATGCCGCCGGTGCATCGACGAGGCGTCCCATCTAATCGGAACCCATTCGAGAGGCCTCTACTCTTGAACTTTTGGGACGTCCAAGAGCGGATGATATTGATCGATCAGTGCATTCTGTCAGGAAGCCAGGCCAGCTTCGTCGCGGCAGGAACTTGCAGTAGGTTTCGGGCGTTTGGATGGTAATTATGGTTTGGGATTTTCATGACAATTTGACTTGAGACCTTGATTGATGGTCTTCATGCGAGGCGCAACAGGGCGGAAGGCTAGGCTGGACAACCCTCTGGACATTGCTAGTGTACAGAATGACCGATCCCTGCTGTCCTCGTCCTCTCTTCCGCGCTTCTCCCCAGTCTCTCCTCCCGCTTTCCATCCCCCCTCGGCGGTTCGAAGATGGGCTCCTTAGGGACAGGGTCCTGAGGACGAGGTGCCAGAAACGGCGCACATCCACCCTTGGACCACTTCCTCGCGGGCAATAATTATATCCATATCCAATGCGTTTTGGACTTTCTTGGAAGGGGCGCCGCAAGGCCGAGGCGCACTGGATATTGATAACATGTAGCCTTCGGGGGCCAGATTCTAATCCATATCCAGTGCGCCTCATGTTTTTGGGGAAGAGAGCCCGAAACTCCAAGACGCACTGGATGCGGATATAGACATTGCCCGCATTCCTATCCTCGGGCCCTCCTCCCTCGGGACCCCCTTTTTGAGTCAGCGACCCCCTCCCGGACCCCCAGCGCCGTGGTCTGCCGACAGGTGTTGACCCCCAGGAGGCCTGGACCCCTCCCCTCCCTCTCTCTCCGCCGACTGCTCCCTGCGCCCGGCTCCTCGCGCCCCACGCTTCTTCGCCCGAGCATTTTTGGGTGGGCGGCAAAGAGGGGGGTGATGACTAGGGGGGGGTGGATGTCATGGCGGGGGCCATGATATTTCCCCAGGTTTCATGGCGCCTCTTCTTATTTCATGACGTCCCTGGCCCCCCCGCTGGGCCGCGCACATGCCGCCGGTCATGATTTGCACCTCCCCCTCTTGCACACCCCCCTCTTGGCCGCTCCCGATGGGTGGAGGGCAAAGGGTGAAGTCTGAAGTGCCGCTTCGATGGATTTCCGAGGCCTGAATCTGCAAAGGGTGAATCACGAGACGGATTGATTTTTTCGAGGTGCAAAAAGCCCATGTGGATTTCCCCCCGAGCCCTCCACCCTCAGGGAATGCTCGGCTCCCCTGGCCGCCGGGCTAAAGGATCGGCCTGGCGAGAAAAAAGGCGCTGGCGGAGGCAGCCGCCAGCGGCAGGAGCCCCGGTGAAGCCAGCGCGGGAGGGGCCTCGGCGAGAGAGGGGGGCTTTCGGGGACCCTCAAACGGGGTCGTGACCACGCCGTGTGGTGGGCTTTCTGGGCCCCCGAAACGGCAGGGCCGTTTTTGTCACCGTTTCCAGAAAAATGTCCCTTGAAAGTGGAAACGTTTTTTTTGGGTGGAGGGCATTGGGGTGAAGTCTGAAATTTTCAGAGCGTGGATTACCTACCCCGCTATCGCTTCCAGGCAAAACCAAGTCATACCACGCGCCTCCTCGTCAAGCGGCCTGACCAGTACAGGCCGTAGTTTGGCATCGCTTGGTATCTCTTGGAAGCGAGGGTGGTCAAAAGCGAGGTAGGTTAGTTTGCCCCCTAGAAATGCCGTTCCGATGGATTTTCGAGGCCTGAATCTGCAAAGGGTGAATCGCAAGGCGGATTGATATTTTCGAGGTGCAAAAAGCCCCTGGCAACGCTCGGACGTGTGCGTATTTTCCTCGGCGAGGACCATCGAGGAGCATCCTTGATCATTTGCCGAAAAAACCACGCACGAAACCGAAAAAAGCACAATGGACGTCCGAACGATGGCGAGAGCCCATATGGATTTCCCCCTGAGCCCTCCACCCTAAGAGAATGCTCGGCTCCCCCGGCCGCTGGGCTGAAGGATCGGCCCGGCGAAAAAAAGGGCGCTGGCGAGAGCAGCCGCCAGCGGCAGGAGCCCCCGGTGCAGAGCTGGCGCCGGAGGGGCCTCGGCGAGAGGGGGGGGGCTTTCGGGGGCCCCCAAGCGGGGTGGTGACATCACCTCTGTGGGCCCCGGAAACGGCAGGGCCGTTTTTTCACCGTTTCCCAAAAAAGGCCCCTTGAAAGTGGAAACGGTCAAAACACGGCGACCGGAAATGGCAAAAAAACGGCTCCAGGATTGGAGCCGGAGCCGGAACCGGTCAAAAAAACGGCGACGGAACCGGTACAAAAACGGCGTCGGAACCGCCAACAAAAACGGCAAAACGGAACCGGTTACGAGGTCCCCATGGGAACCGGTAACGAGGTCCCCATGGTCCCCCGCCAGCGCACGGTTTGCAAACCGTGCGCTGACGGACCGTGCGGCGAGGTCTTTGGGGATTTCGAGGTCACCGCACGGTCCGTCACCGCACCCCTTCGGGACTCCAAAGGCTTGCGAAACAGTCCCACGCCTCCCCAGGACGGGTGTTTCATTCCGAGAGGTTTTCCGGCGTCTCCAGGGCCCAGAAAGGGTATTAGTAGTAGCAGTAGCAGTAGCAGTAGCAGTAGTAGTAGTAGTAGTAGTAGTAGTAGTAGTAGTAGTAGTAGTAGCAGTAGTAGTAGTAGTACTAGTAGTAGTAGTAGTTGTAGTAGTAGTAGTAGTAGTAGTAGTAGTTAGTAGTAGTAGTAGTAGTAGTGTAGTAGTATTAGTAGTAGTAGTAGTAGTAGTAGTAGTAGTAGTAGTAGTAGTAGTGTAGTTGTAGTAGTAGGCGTTGGCGTAGGCGTAGGCGTAGTGTAGTCGTGTAAGTCGTTAGTAGTAGTAGTAGTAGTAGTAGTAGTAGTAGTAGTAGTAGTAGTAGTAGTAGTAGTAGTAGTAGTAGTAGTAGTAGTAGTAGTAGTAGTAGTAGTAGTAGTAGTAGTAGTAGTAGTAGTTGTAGTAGTCGTAGTCGTAGTCGTAGTCGTAGTCGTAGTCGTAGTCGTAGTCGTAGTCGTAGTCGTAGTCGTAGTCGTAGTCGTAGTCTCAGTCGTAGTAGTAGTAGTAGTAGTAGTAGTAGTAGCAGCAGTAGCAGCAGTCGTAGCCGTAGTCGTAGTCGTAGTAGTAGTAGTAGTAGTAGTAGTAGTAGTAATAGTAGTAGTAGTAGTAGTAGTAGTAGTAGCAGTAGTAGTAGTAGTAGTAGTAAGTAGTAGTAGTAGTAGTAGTAGTAGTAGTAGTAGTAGTAGTAGTAGTAGTAGCCGTGCTCAGGAGTGTAGGGACATGTTCAATTGTCTTATGATGTTCCAACCTACCGTAGCCTTGACCACAAGGAAGAATTTCGAGTACCAAGACAGTGCCGACGTTTGAGCATTTTCACGTGTCGGGCCCTGGGAGGCGACATTCGTTCGACATTGTTGCGACACTTTTCGGGGTGCTCGCAATCAATTGTGGGATTTGGTTCCTAAGTACGATGGGAGCAACATCACACTAGGCTTAGTTTTTGAATAAGTGCGTGCATCAGCAATACTAGTAGCATCTGTTGTCTTATACCCGTGTCCGTATCAGTAGTGGTGGTAGCAGTAGTCTTTGTTTTAGCGCTGTCGTTCTTACCATTCGTATGAAGTGTACGAATTTCATATTCGTCGGTTGGGCAGTCGTGCTATTCCCTGTTGGGCTGTTAATATTGCTGGTCGTACTTAAAGAAGCAGCAGCAGGTTGACACACTCGGCATACAGCTTTCCCGCACGGGATCTTCAAACTTTCCGTAAGGGCAAGGAAGTAAGCAGGGGTTTTGTGGCAAGTTGTCTAGGGCCTTCTGCCGCAAGGTTGTAGTTTGTTGTTCCGCTGCGCGATGCGGTCTACTTAGGATCCTGGCTCATGAGCGTTCGGCTAGTCCCCGACCTTATGCGCCATCCAGACTAATCTGCCAATCTCGGGTCTGGAATGCCGCCTAGGCTGTGGGTGCGAGATGTCCGATGAGGTCCCCGCTCGAACGGGAGCCGCCCCGGGCCCCGGCCATTCGCACCCACACCCGTAGCGCCCGCACCGCCTCGCCCCCTTCCCCTGTCCTCCCGATTGGCCTGAGCGCGGGTTGTTCTATCGTGTTGCCCGGTGCCTCGCGGACTCGCCGCACTCTTGGTACGATTTTTTTTCGTAGTGCCCCGTTGTGCCTCGGAAGCTTACCCCTGCAAGCCCGTGCCCTGGCGCACGCGCACAAGATCTTCACGGTGTGAGCGGAACCGTGCCACAACACCGTTCTTGGGCTCTCCGCACCGCGAATCCACGTAACTGATGTGCCCTGACAGTCCCCAGTACATGTTGTCAAAACACCACTTCTGGAACGCCAGGCAGGAGAATCCTGAAACTTGTAGTGAACTCTTGGAACACGTGTGCGCGGCGCGAGGAAAGCCACATTTGGGACATGTGCCGCCGTTTATCCGTGAACGTCTTGCAAACCTCTAACACGAGCACGCGCCGCGCTCAGGCGAGAGCCACACATTGAAAACCGCACGCCCTCGATCCGCGGAGTTCTTTTAAGACACATGCGCGCGGCGCAAAGGAGACAGCCGCATTTTGAAGACGGCCCGCCGTCCAACCGTGCGCTCCGCAGATGCACCCCGCAGATGCGGATAAGAGTTAGGGGGCGGTGGGGACGTCGGCAGTCTGCGAGACTCTGGAGAAGCCCGCCGCAGGCGCCAAAGTTCCACAAATTACGCAACGAGCCCGCCGCAGGCGCAAATGTTTCCTTCAAACCAATGTGGATCGGTCGGTCGCGGGTCGGTCGCGGGTGGGTCGTGGGTGGGTAGCGGGGTAGGTCGCGGGTGGGTCGCAAGTGGGTCGCGGGTGGGTCGCGGATGGGTCGCGATGGGTCGCGGGTGTGCGTCGCGGATGGGTCGCGGGGTGATTCGTGGGTGGGTCGCCGGTCGGTCGCGGGTGGGTCGCGGGGTGGGTCGCAGGTTGGGTCGCGGGTTGGGTCGCGGGTGGGTCGCGGAGTGGGTCGCGGAGTGGGTCGCGGGGTGGGTCGCGGGTTGTGTCGCGGGGTGGGTCGCGGGTTGGGTCGCGGGTTGGGTCGCGGGTTGGGTCGCGGGTTGGGTGGCGGGTTGGGTGGCGGGTTGGGTCGCGGGTTGGGTCGCGGGGTGGGTCGCGGGGTGGCTTGCGGGGTTCGTCGCGGGCGGGTCGCCGGGGGGACGACGGCAGCAAACAACAACAACAACAACAACAACAACAACAACAACAACAACAACAACAACAACAACAACAACAACGACAACGACAACGACAACGACAACGACAACGACAACGACAACGACAACGACAGCGACAACGACAACGACAACAACAACAATAACAACAACAACAACAACAACACTAACACTAACATTAACAACAACAGCAACAACATAACATCATTCTAATATTGTCCGCCCTTGCTCGCCCGCGTGTGATTCAAAACGAGTTTCCCAAACCCTCGATACCCGTCCTCTTTGTCTTCGATCACACCCCTTTTGGGTGGATTCGTTCTCCTTGCGGGGGGCGGCGGGCTTAGACATGCGGGCAAACCTGAACGGGCGGACAATCCTTCGTGGGCGTACCTGTGCCCGCCATTGGAATTGGTGTGGGCCATGCAAAAAGAGGAGGGGGACAACGAGGGAGAGTGGGAGGAAGGGAGGGGGAGGGACGAAGGAAGAGGGAAAACGCCAGGAGAGAAGGAGCGAAGAGAGGGGCGGTTGATTAGAGGCAGGGAGAGAGAGGTCCTTTGAGCGGAAGATCGGGACAAGTCGGAACCAGAGATTCTGGGAGAGTTCCAGAGAACAATGGAACGCCGATTTGTGGAGCGTAGCGCGCATTCGCAGAAGTTCCCAAATAGTGTTCTGGGGCAAATCTGGTGCGCACGAGCATTGTGAGCGGGCGCGCGGCTTGCACGGGGGGCACAGTAGGTTTGCGTTTCAGGGACTTGGGCGCTGGCCGCAGCGTTGATGGGGGGCCCGGGAATGCGTCACACATATTACGCCTGTGGCGCCATGGAGGCCGCATTTGCGCCTGCAGTTGGGCGGGCGCCCCGCCGCGCGCACCGTGGCGACAGCTCTCTTGGGCGCCCGCCCGCCGCCGTGGACGTAGTGGACCCAGCTAGTATCTCGGTCGGCGCGCGGAGGGTCGGCAGCCACGACGCTGGCGGCCTGAAAATGCTTCGAAGGTGTTTCTCCCCGAGCCCGGGGCTATTGTACGTTTTCGGTGGCACGCGCAGCTCGGAGAAAATTCGCCTTGTCCGTCGGCGGCCAGTTGGCTGTCGTCGCGCAGAAGTGCCAGCGGATGGCGTGGTCCACGCTCAGCGCAGAGAGCGTGTCCATGAGCGTGGACTCGTCGAGGGGCAGGAGGAAGGACCTCGCGGTTGGGACCATCGCGGCCCGCGATGTCCACGGCCCCCACCCTGGGCGCGCGAGGACCTGCTGGGCGCCGCCGCAGCGTGATTTCAGAGAATCTCGGAACCAGAAATCCGGGCGCGCCAAATTTCGCGGGCCGAAAAACTCTCAGAGAGTTTCGGCCAGCTCCGAGGTTTTGGGTTTATGGGAATGTTTCACGCGGGGTGGCTAGTTCAGAGATTTTTGGCGCGCCCCGGTTTCTGTTTATGTGAATCTCTGAAAAGCGGTTCCTTAGGTTTTACCGGGTCTCCAGGTGTCCTATTTTCAGCCAGAGACGAGCGACTGGCTGGCGCCGCGCCCGATGCTTCCGGAGTTGCGAACTCGGTCCTCGATTCCCTGGGGCCCGCGGGCCCTGGGCCAATCGCGAGGTTGCCGAGGCCCCCAGGCGGTTGCGCGCGATTGTCACGGAAACCGGAGTTGGGTATCCATGGTGGACGTCCCCGAGTACGCGCTAGGTGTCCGCGAGATTGTTCGGTGGCGGATCTTGCGTGGCGCGGGGACTTTCCAAAGACTTTCCGGGGTGTTCTCTACGGTGATTCCGGCGCGCTTCGGGAACCTTGGGGCGGCGCGGGGAAGTCGCCTGGCCGCGCGCGGGACTTTTTTCCAATGCCTTCTTGGGCATTATCACGGTGTTGCGTGGCCGAAGAGGTCACTGAGGAACGCGTTTTTTTTTTTTTTTTTTTTTTTTTTTTTTTTTTTTTTTTTTTTTTTTTTTTTTTTTTTTTTTAAAAAAAAAAAAAAAAAAAAAAATCTTATATATATTATTATATTATATATATTATATATATAAAAAAACAAAAAAAAACGTTTTTTTTTCGTTGCGTTGGTTGCGTGATTGTTTTGGCGGTCCGCCTCCTTGGGGCCCCCTTGGGGCCGCAAGTTTGTTTTGTGGACGTCGGGTCTTTTGGAGTGAAAGGCGCTTGGCGCTGAATTCCCTCGGGCGTGCGCGTGGCCAAATACGCGCCGTGGCTTCATCCGCGCCAGGGCGCATGTTTCCCTCGCGAAGCCGATGGCGCCCAAGGCGTGGCAGGCCCTTTTCGGCGGCGCCCCCAGTGATTTGAAAAGCCGAGCATGATTGTCATCCCGGTCAAATTTTGCCCCGATCCTGGCTTCATTTTCAGAGGGAGAAAGAGAAAGGGAGACAGAGACAGAAGGAGAGAGAGAGAGAGAGAACGACAGATAAGAAAGGTAGAGAAAGAGAGGGAGACAGGGGATAGAGAGAGAGAGAGAGAGACATAGAGAGAGAGAGAGAAATAAAGAAAGAAAGAGGGAGGGAGGAGGCAGGAGAGGGGAGGAAGAAGAGAGGAGGGAGAGGAGGAAGAGGGAATAGGGCAGAGAGGCATACCGATGAGGGAGTAGAGGAGGGAGAAAGAAAGGCGGAGAGGAGGGAGGAGGGAAGAAGGAGAGGGAGGCGGAGCAGGAAGGAAAGAGCGTGAACGTTCGAGGAAGTCCTCGGCGAAAGCGCCGTTCCTGAAGGAAGTCTCGGGCGGGAGCCCACAACGGGCGGGCGATCCCCTGGCGGGCGGGTCGGGCGGGTGGGACTTTCAACCCGGATGCCTGAGTATGGCGAGGTCGCGATTATTACGTCAATTTTAACGGCGTCCTTGGCGCAGCGTGTTTCCCGAGCGTCGAAAACGCGCTTTCTGCATAAATTGCATGAGCGTCACAGGCGAGAGCGCCACTCCTGAATAAAATGTGAAGTGCTCTCTGACGGGAGCGGGGGTCCTGAGTAAATTGCGAGGAAATAGTGGTTCGATTGCGAGGAAGTCTCTAGCGGGAGTGCCGTTCCCGAGTAAATTGTGAGGAAGTCTCAGTTGGGAGCGGGGGTCATGACTAAAATGCGAGGAACTCACAGGCTGGAGAACCGATCCTGAATAAATTGTGAAACAAGTTTCAGGAGCGGGGGTCTTCGATAAATTTGGAGGAATACTCCGGCGGGAGCCGTTGTTGTTGTAATCCGGGGGGCCAGGGGCCCAGTTAGAGCACCAAGATTTTTCTTGTCAAAAGAAACAGGGCGCGAGCTTCGAGGGGTTCATGTTGATTGAAGAAAAACAGCATGCACCGGTGAAGGTGATCAGCAATAATTATTGCTCCGAAGTGAGAGTTCAACAAGAACAACAACAACGCAACAAGCATATTCCTCACCACAGATTCTCAATTCAGCCACGCACCCGGGGACCATGATTGACCGCTCGGGCCCCGCACTCTGATGTATCACCTTGTGGATCATACATTGTTAGCAAGTCTCAGGCAAGACGTCCAGCCCACCCTACCAACACGTTTCGGGGTGCGACGGGAAGGAAATTTCATAAGGAACAGGGATGGGGGAGGTAGGAGGGAGGAGGAGGAGGGAGGCAGAGGAAGGCGGAGGGAGGAGGGGAGGTGAGAAGGGAGGAGGGGGAATGAGGAGGAGGAGAACGAGGACGAGGAGATGGCCGCTCTCGCCCGCGCGACCGCCGACGGCACGCGGGCGGGCAGGAAGTCGAGCAGCCCTTCCCGCGCGGTGCGCCTGCAGTAGCGGCTTTTGGCGGCACTCCCGCGCAGAGCTCGGGGTCAAGTTGGCACGAGGTTCAGGGGTAACGTTAGGGGGGGGACAGGCTCAGGGGCAACGTTGGGGGGGGGAAAGGCTCAGGGGATGGGCAGGAGGTTTTCGAGCGTTTTCGTCGCTTCTCGGCTGTTTTGTAGTCTCGGGGTGCCCTCCTCGCCGGGGGGCGTCCAGGGGTGCCCAGGTGATCCCGGACGGCCGCTGACATGGCCCGAAGACCAGGAGGCAATTTTAGAGGGGATAGGCTCAGGGAAGGGCGCACGTATCGACTTCCAATCGCTCACTGATCCCCGATAACTAGTGGCCCGATGGCCCACCCAGGCCATGACTGCAGACTCGCTGTCGGGAGCCTACCGTGGAGACCCATGCCAAAAAGCACCCTGCTTGCCCCAGGGTGCCCTGAAATTGGGGAGTTTCGATGGTTTGGCTGCGGACAGCGCGACGCCCCACGCCAAGAGTCAACGGACGTCCTCCTGGGCTCTCAGGGTTGGGTTTCTCGTGGAAGGCTTCTTGTGGATTGGCCTCCACTGCATCGCAGGTCCATCGGCGCTGTATCGTTCCCCGTCTGCACGGCTTCCCCCAGGGCCGTAGGCGACCCGAGGAGGGGAGGGCCAGGAGGGGGAGGAGGAGGAGGATGAGGAGGAGGAGGAGGAGGAGGAGGAGGGAGGAGGAGGAGGAGGAGGAGGGAGGTGGAGGAAGGAGGAGGAGGGGAAGGTGGAGGAGAGTAGGGGGAGGAGGAGGAGGAGGAGGAGGAGGAGGAGGAGGAGGAGGAGGAGGAGCAGGAGGAGGAGGAGTGGGAGGAGGGGGAGGGGGAGGAGGAGATGAGTGGGGAGGAGATGGATGGGGAGAAAATGGAGGAGGAGGAGGAGGAAGATGAGGAGGAGGAGAAGGAGGGAGGAGGAGGAGTAGGAGGGAGGAGGAGGAGGAGGAGGGAGGAGGAGGTCGGGTCGCCCAAGCCCTTCGGAGAAACCCTCCATGCCCCTCGGGTCCGGCGGGCGTGGGCTGAGGACACGCGTGGCTCCCGAGGGGCTCCGGCGCGCTCTCTCACAGGGGCGTGCCGGGACCACCTGGGACGGCCGTTGTGCCCGACCCTCTGTGGCCCAGCCGGCTCTCCGAGACCTGCTCGGCGTGCGAGTGCCTGCTCGGGGGCGGCAAAGAGGGGAGCGCTGACCAGGGGGGGGGGGCAGGCACAGGGGGGGGGTTCGGGGTTCGAGGTTTCTGACGCTGTCGTCGGTTCTCGGCGGCTCTCCAGCCTCGGGACGCCTTCCAGCGGCTGCGCCTTGTCGAGAGGGTGCCTGGGGTGCCCGGATCGCCCCGAATGTCCGCCAAAGAACCGAGCTATGGCCCGAAAACCAGGGGCAACGTGAGGGGGTGATGACTAGAGGGGGTTGGATACCATGGCGTGGGTCACGAAATCTCCCCAGGTTTCATGGCGCCTCTTCTTCTTCTTCGCCTTCTTCTTTCCTTGCGTCCCTGGCCCCCCCCCCTGGGCCGCGCACGTGCCGCTGGCCATGATTTGCGCCCCCCCCTCCTGGACGCCTCCCTCGTGGCCGCCCCCGGCTTGCTGCACTGAAGGGGTCCTAGCGGAAATTGAAAGATTTGGCAAACGTGTCCCGCCGATTTTGGTGGCCGGCTGGGTCCCTGGGCTCCCGATTCCGGGCTCCCGGGTTCCTGCTTATTGGTTCCAGGCCGATTTCGGTGGGTTCCAGGTTCCCAGGTTCTCGGTCGATCTTCTTATCGATCACAACATCCATTGATTCGAGTTTTTCTTTGATGTAATTCTATCCCATGCACCATGCAGCATGAAGCCAGAGGCGCACTGGATATGAGATCATCGAGGATGGAAAGAATCCCGAACCCTTATACCAGAGCGAAGACGTGGCCTCACTGAGGGCCCCGCCCTTGCATTAGGGATGAACATTCTGGGCGGTTTCGTCTGGCAAATCTGCAGAAAAAGACTCCCTACCCGCAATGTTGTTGGCCCACCTAACTTAGGTCCCTTCTCAACGGGTTAGCGGTCCGTGTTTGGTTAATCGTGGATCGGAATTTGCCCCCAGAGGCTCGATTGTTATCCATATCCAGCGCGCCTCGGCCTCGTGGCGCCCTTTCCAAGAAAGTCCAAGACGCACTGTGTATGGATATACATTATGCCCGTACTTTATAGTCAATCCGCAGAGTCAGGATGCCAGACTTTCCAAGGCTACCCTTGCATCCCTGTCCCTTCGGCCCATCCTGGGTAGCTCTGGCCGGCCAACCTCGCTCGAGAATCGTGCACATGGCCCTCCAAGGCAATTGCATCCATACCGCACATCCTTAGTATACAGGTTGGCAGTATCCCCATCCGAAGTTGTCATCCACGCGCCGGTCCCCCATTATCTGGCTGTCCCTCGCAGGGGTGCCTGCCGGCAGCGCGCGGTCCCTGCCAGGCGCGGCGCCAGAAGCGCGCCGCAGGTCGTGGCGTTTTTGGTCCTTCGCGGGGACCTCGGTTGGTTTGCTGTTTGGGGATTGTTGTTTGGTGTGTGGGGTTTGGGGTTTGTTGTTAGGGGGTTGGTGTTTGAGAGTTCGGGTTTGTTGTTTGGGGTTTAGTGTTTGGTGGTGCTTGGTGTCTTGCGTGTGCGTGGTGTTCGGGGGTCTTGAAGGCTCCAACTGGCTTATAGCCCGCCCAGCCAGGTATAGCCCGTGCAACTGGGGTACAGAATTCGGCCAGGGCCCCAGGGGGGTCATCGGTGCGGGTTTTGGGGAGTGCCGCCCGGGTGGGTCGCAAAGCGGGGCGTAGACTGGACGCGAGGGCGGCCTCGAGGGCGCGGCAGTTCTTCGCGCGTTGCGTCTCGCGGTTCGGCTCCGGTTCCCTCCTCGCCTTTGTCTTGTCTCCATTGGGAGGTGGGGGGGGGGCGCGAGAGCGCGAAGTTCTTCGCGCTCTCGCGCAGCGCGGCGCGCCGAGTTGGGCGCCGAGGAGGAGGAGGAGGAGGAGGAGGAGGAGGAGGAGGAGGATGAGGAGGAGGAGGAGGAGGATGTGGAGGAGGAAGAGGAGGAGGAGGAGGCGGAGGAGAAGGAGGAGGAGGAGCTGGACGGGCTGGAGGCGCCTGACAAAATTTGTGGCGGGATACCATGCTAGAAATACTGTTATGCCAAGAGACGTGAGGGGATCCAAAGACAGTGGTCAATGACGCATTTCTGGACATACAGGGCTTCCAAGTCTGCCTCCAAATCTCGGCCAGGGCCCCGATTGATGCAGAACAGATGTGGCATGCCACCCCTCGTAAACAGGTTGACTAATCAGACACATAAATGAGAACCCCCTTGCTAAAGCGTATGGCAATCTCTAAGCCCCGAAGTTCCCCCCGAGGAACGGATTGGAACTCACCAACCAAAATGTCTTGAGAGTTTGGGCCTAACAACTAGAGGAGCGAAACTCCGAAGGGTAACAGCCGACAGTCCGACGCGCCTACGATGCTCAGATTTGGAGTCGGGCCCCCCAGACGCGTTACTTCAGACGGCGTGCAAGGTTCACGCAAATGTGCGGCTCATCTAGTTCGGCAAGTCCCTTATTTTAACATTGTTGTCCCTTCACTCCGCGGTATTCCTGCCGCGCGAACATAGCTCTGCACTATACGACGTTCCTCGGACGACTGCAAGGGGCTGCATGGGGTCACTCTCTGGGGCCCTTCGCCACTGCCAGGTGCAGAAGAAGCTGTTCAAAAGCAGCTGTTGGTGCACTGGATTACACGATGCCCTCCCCAGCGCGGTCTGATTCGACACCCTCGGTACGTATGATGGACGGTTGTCGAGACGACGTCGCAGGCAACAGCCGTCGCATCAAGGGCACTTGAGCACCGAGGTTCGAAGGAGTGGGATTCCGGGGTGGTACGGGTGTGTGTGTGTGTGTGTGTTGTCGGCCGCCTGGTTCCGGGGCTTTGCCCCCTCCTGGCCCTGACGTGAGGCCCCTCCTTCTGCCTTCCCCCCTCTGTTAATCAAAGCTGTGCGCGGCCCGCTCAGCTTCGACCGGAAGAGATGCGCTCTCGACCCGCGGATCAAAAAAGTGTGTGTTGTCGGATGGGGGTCCTCGCTCAAGTCGTATTCCCCCCCCCTCTCGGGGTCCGTCGCCTGGCCCTTCCCCCCGCCTCCAACCCCTATATAGGTTCCAGCCTCCGAGGCGCCGGCGTCGGAGGACCGCCCCGCCTCGCCGACCTGTGACGTCGCCGATGCGGTCGCGATGCGCCGACCCCTCAGGAGGGGAAAAAAAGCACAGACACAATGAATCGTCGATTCCCCAGAAAATATGGGAAAATATGGGAAGTGGGGGGGAGACGAAAATCTAGAAAATATGGGGAAATATGGGGAATCTGTTTATTTGTGTGTATTTGTTTGTGTGTCCCAGGGCCCCTTCAACCCCATCTGCTTGGGCCTATCTGGGAGGCCTGTGGTATGATGCTCCAGCCTACTTTGGCCTGGACCAGGAAGAGTTTCGAGCACCAGGAAAGCGCAGTGCCGTTTTTAACACATGCTCCGCGTGCGGATCTTGTATGAAACATGCAGGGATTCAGTATTAAAACCAACGGTGAGTTCATGCCTAAATTTATTCAGAAATAAATCGTGTATGAAAAATCCAATTAAAAACAAAAAAAACGTGTATTAAAAACTGCCCTGCACCGAGACTGGAGGGTCCTCACGTGTCGGGCTCTGGGAGGCGATGCTCGTTCGACGCCCGCTCGACACCTTTCCTCTGGGTTCTCGAGGTGACTGTTTGGGATGTGGTCCGTATAGGTACGATGGGAGCAGCATAGGGCCCGTGTATCCTCCACGATCGGGCCGGGCGAAAGGGGGGGATTGGGTTATTCTCCACGATGGAGCGCGCGACTTAAATACCTATCCCAGAGCAATTCTACGTCTTGGTTCTAGGCTGTTTCGTCTCGTTTTTTAGGTTTTTAGGTCTCCAGTGCTAGAAAATAGCACTCTGGAAGGTCAGGGAAAGGGGGGGGTACGAAATTTGCTGCATGCAGCTGGTTTCGGCTTCACCGAGGGGCCCATTCCTCGA